ACTTAAAGTTTAAATGTAAGTATTTGTTAAAGAAACTGTTCTTGGAGCAGGAAGCGAACGCCACCTTCACTGTAGTGTAGTCGTGGTGATTCCAGTTTTTCCCTTTTGAATTTTCAGTTCTTGACAGCAGCAGGCCATTTTCAGCAAAAACAAGATTAATTGATTTCCTACTCCCCTCCCTGGTTGAAAAATGTGTATTGGAACCCATTCTGAATTTGGGTATTTCTGGGCGGGTGTTTTTGGTATGCTAGTGGTTTGAAGCTGGACTACTCCAGGTGTTTTCAGATGAGTGGTGGTAACCGAGGATATTGCCTTTGACAACGCTGAATTGATCCCAACCGCATCTAATATCAGGCCATTAAAGGTATCACAGAAAGGAATAGTGAAAGTCTGGTTTCCAGAGGCATGTTTAGAGAGTTCAGAATTGCTCTGCCTCGTATGGATAATAGTGCCAGTTGAATATGTATGCCAGCAAAACTTAAATTCTCTTAACAGCTTTTCCAGTGAGCATGGAGATACCCACCTTGTAAGAAGCTTGTGCTGTCAAAGAATGAGTTAATTCTTTAAAAATGGACATAAATGCTCAAATATGGTGCTTATAGCTGTCTTTTGGATATTAACTGGAATCCTAAACTTAAAACAGTTGGAAGATGTACTACTAGAAATTGTCACTACTAATAGTTACGTGCAAAAACTGACTACAGTAGCTAAATCTTGTAATTTTTCTTCTTTCAGCTAATTGACTTGAGTTCTCCTCTTATCACTCTGAGTCCTGATGTGAACAAAGAAAATCTGGATTCCCCTCTGCTTAAGTTCTGAACTTGAGTTGAAATGAAGAATTCTTGGCATCTGTGACCTTTAAGGCGTTTAGGTGTTACCCTTCACTCATACTGCTTTATGAAGATAGTTCAACAGATACTTCGTAGCTGTAACAAACAGAATTCTCACAGTCCTGGTATAGTCAAACCAAGTCTGATTTAATGCTCTTTGCATGCATATGCCACAATGGATGTACTTAAACTTTGCCTTAAGGCAAAAAAGGATATCCTCTGTTTTAGAAGCCTGTCTTTTTTTTTTCCCCCCCCCTCCTTCCCTACCAATTGTCCTTTGCCTCCTTATCCCCCAAGTGCAACAAAGGTTTAAATTAAAATAAATTGGTTGTTTAATTAAACTGTAAAATTAGCCTTTTGCTTCAAATTTTAGACTATTTTAGTGTTTCACTAATGAATCTTAAGGCAGTGGAAATTAGTTTTGTTTATACAAAAGTATAGCAAGTCTGGAAATAAATTCTTTACTCTTGAATGCTAGTGGAATAGACTAAAAGCAATAGCTGAATTTGTGTGATTCAAAGGAGGAAGTAGCCTGATGGTTTGATATTGAGCTTTGAAGGTTTGATTTGAACCTTTTCACTTTCAAAGAATAGAGAAATATTTATGAATCTTTCTCACCTGACAGTCTTGCTCATAACTGAGTTGGGGCATGATGTACTGTACGATTTCTAAACAGAGGTGAATGGAATGAAAATGGATGCTGTGGGAGAGGGCATAAACTGTTGAAACAGCAAGCCTGTCTTTGGAGCCTGGAAACTTCTGCTGTGTGTGTATCTGCTAACTGTATTTAATTCATGAAACTTAGCAAGAGATGGAAGTGGATTTTGAACCACTGTTTGTATTCATTCAAAAAGTTTGAAGATCTATTGTATTAAGTGTTTAACTGGGGGAGGGGGAGAAATGTTCATCTGAGTTCATCAAACATGTTTTGATGTTGAACAAGGCTACTCCCCTATCTTTATCTGAAGGTACTCATCTACTTTCCAGGATAGCTGCCATGCCCATGGTTAGTGCAGCATCAGACTATTATGAAACAAGGCCAGGCCCTCTGAGTGGGAGAAACAATCATGCTACCTGCTCTTGCTAAATATGAACCATATTAATGTGGAATTTCTCTACTCTGCTTGCTCCTGTTTTTGTTCTATGAACAGCAAGATGGCTTCATCATCCAAAACACTTATTTAAAATTTTACTTGCAAGGCAGTGCTGTGCAGTTAAAAGCAAGACTCAGGGCAGGTCTTCTGCCAGACTTGAAACAAGAGGGAGAACTGAATTCTTCCATATGTAATTCTAGATGGAAACAAAAGGAAAAGATTAAAAAAAAATTAGAAACTTGTTTTTCTTTAACTGGTGATATACTTGTGATTTTTTTTGTTTACATGTGGCTAACAAATATAAACAGGTTTATGCCCCATAGGTCAAGGATATGCAAGAATACTAAATGTTGTACCAGTTGAGAAGATTAAATCTTGTAAATGTGTGCTTCTACAAACGGTAGATCTAGATCCTATTTTCAAGCATGACTATGACAACTTAAACTATTTTGTCTTATCAACAATTTCGACTAGCTTGTATTCTAGTAACTAGAACTCAGATGAACTGACAGTGGGTGTCAGCTGCAAATCAAAGCACCTAAATGTGCTGTCCTAAAGGAGGCATCTGGTCTGCTGAACAGTTCTGGGATCCCCTGCTTCTATTGATTAACTACTAATGAGTTTAGACAGTGGGCTTATAACTAGACATATCTATGTGTCTTCAAGGATGTGTACCTTTAAGGTATAATTCACTTGTCCAAACATCTTGTCCAGCAGCAAGTCCAGGACATCCGTGTGTGGTGCTGCACAGTCCTAGGGGCAACCTGCATGGTTTGGTAGCAGGTAGAAGGCAGGTAGAATACCCTTGGGCTTATTAAGTGATAATAAACATAGCGATCAGAGCTACAAGATGTAGCTACATATGGCTTCAGAGCTAAGTGTTTGTGCTGAGTTTAACTGGGTCTGTCTTTGCCCCCATAGGATTCATGTGCTGTTGCTTACGAAAGGTTGATGGAGGTTGGAGGACCCTTATTTTGAATATGTGTATCTCTAAGGGACCTAAAGGAGGGTTGTGGGTCTGAAAGCGTGTCTGATTTTTTTCCACCTTATTAGTTGCTTTAAATAATGTATTGCTTCTACAGCACCACCCATGTCCTGGCTCTTCTGTAGGCAGTGAATGAATTCCACCGCTCTGAGCGTCATGTGGCCTGTTTATGTGAAACAGAACTAATCAGCGTTCAATAACTTAGTGTTAATCTTGCAGTTCAAAAGAAAAAAAAATTGATTTGCCTTCAGTATTTTTTTGGTACATGCTTTTATAAGCTACCCCGTGGTAGAAGGAAAATGTTCATGCTACTTGCAGTATTGTATTGAGATGAAAAAGTTGGTCTTCTCCTGTGCATGTATCTGGTTCTCTGTTCTTCTATAGCTTCCTTCAAACATATACACTGAAACGTGACCTTTTTTGGTAACGTCCAAATTACAGTACGTGACCTATGCATTGGAGTGTGTGGGGTGTGGGTTTTTTTTTTAATCAGCACACTTTAATCAATGCCTGACAGCTGTTAAGCCCTAAACTTTGCCCCTTCCCCCGCCGGTCAGCCGGAGCTGCTGTAGCC